CTGTGCTACCCCGGCGGCATCTCCCCTATGCCCCCCCCCCACCCCCACCTTGGTCTCACCACCTCTCTTGAGGAGTGTGGATTTGACGGACGTTATGTTAGAAGGCTGGAAAATAATGGGCACCGGTGGCACATGCATGGTGTGTGTGTGTGTGTGCAGAGCTTGAATCGGTTTTCCTTGCCCAGGCAGCGCCTGGGAGGAGAAGCAGTCTCTCAAGTCTGCCTTTTGAGGCTGATGCATCCTGACAGCTTGTTCACTGGGACATTAAAATCATTGCCTCTATCTGCGTAAAACACCCAGTAAGGCAGATGATGGGAACACAGGTCAGGGGAGGATCGTTCTCTCCCCTGCGCGATGAGCGGTGGCACTGAAAACGCCAAGCAGCAGAACAAAGCGGATCCCAGCAGCGCAGGGGCTGCTGCACCCTGACTGGATGGCAGCAGGGTCCTCTCCAATACGAAGGGAGCCAGCAGCCTGGGGGGACACTGCAGACGGAGCCATCTTGCTGGTGTTCCCATCTGTAAGGTGTACTATAGCTCAGGGATTTGGTGATAAGGTGGCAGAACATCCCTATCCCTATCCCCATCCCATCCCCATCCCATCCCATCCGGTGCATCTGTCACCAGCTGCACAGCATGTTTTCCCAAAGAGCTTCAGTTTTCCCTGGGGGGTTGTGGCAAAGCAAGAGGGCATCTGCAAGCTCTCCGTGCTCTCTGCAGACCTTGGACCCCATACAGGTGCCCCATGGTCCAAAAGACAGGACCAAGCAAGATGCCCTATGGGCACTGACAGCCAGTTACTCACAGAGGAGGAGAAGCTGAAGTCCAGCTTGGCTGTCTGAGTTTGCAAGGAGAGGCAGGCTGGGTGTTGGAGCAGGCTTTTTTTGGGAGGTGGGCATGGAGGGAAGGTATGTAATAGGGGACATGGGAGGACCTGCTGGTATTTGGGATGGTAGGATAGGGCAGCATGCCAGGGTCCTGAGTGGGCTGCTTCTGCATCTCCAGCCTAGAGTAGGCACATAGATGGGCAGGGCTGCTGAAAATCTGGGTTTGATTGAGCAAGCCTTGCTTTGAGGGCCTCTTAAAAATGATTCCTAGTGTGATCTGCTGGTTTGGGCAGGGCAACAAGGCAGTGTGTGAGCTTGGGTGCTCTGGCCACCCACCAAGGCAGCGCCAGGGGCAGCCCCCGTGCCTAGGTGCTGCTTTGGATGGCCACAGATGTCCTCAAGAGAAGTGTTGACCAACTTGCTCTGCCTGAGCAAAAGTGGGGGAGTTGCCAGAGCCCAATGGGACCAGGCATAGGACCTGTTCACATGTGGAAGTATCCATCAACTCACCTCTGAGGCTGGGCGCAAGCAGGGAGCCGCACCCAGTTTGTTCACCTTTGCATCCTATTGCTGCCACGTGGTCTAACCCTCTTCAGAGAACGTTTGGCCATATCTCCATGACTCCTCCTTACCCACTCAAGACTAAATGCTGTGAAATTTTGAGCCCCCTGGAATGAGGTGACTGAGTCCTCCAGTGCACATGGATGGCGTCAAGCTGAGGGTTCTGCTGAGCCCCTGAGGAGTGCTGTCCTGCATGCATTCCCTGAGGGTGCTTGGTGCCTCTCTGGGATGAGTTAAGGCTGTTGAAATGTCATAGTGTACAAAGGTTGGCTTTTGGGGGTACTGGCTACATCAGTGCATTGGAATTCATTGCATCCTCAGGTGCTTTTATTTGGGAGAAATAGGTGTGATTTTGCTGGGATCTGGACACCTTTGCCACTCTGCTGTTCACAAGTGACTCCTTCGGCATCCTGGGTGACCCCTTGTGAACACTGCTGACCAGACTTGCTAATGGGACCTAGTCCATGAGAGCTAGCAGGGGAGCTGGCCATGCAGGGATGGAGCTGTGCTCCCCACTGCCATTTATCAGGAGATAGAAAGCTTTCAGCATGATAAGCTTGCTGGTATCTCTCTCACAGCACCAATGCATATTTCACTGGAGAGAAACAACCAGGAAAAAAAGTAATGAACTCCTCTGCTTGTACTTCCAGAGTAGACACAAGGTGCAGAGGCTTTAGCCATGCTGGAGAGAGGATTTGGGAGATGATGGCAAGAATGATAGTCTACCAGGAGACCAAAAAGTTGCTTATACATAAGCTTGTGGTGCTGCCTTTTAAGACAACTCCTGACTGCCTTGCATTGGTCACTGATGAGCAAGATACCACTCTTGTGTGGCCCCTGCCCCAGCCAGTGCTGCTTTGGCCGTGGTAGTGCCACTGGATGGCTGCTGGCAGCAGAGTTCTTCTGGAAACAGGCCCACACGAGGTGTCAGGATATGCTTAAAGCAGCTGTGGTCAAGGCATGCTTTGCAGTGCTGAGGTTCCTGCTTGGAGGCAGCTTTTGGATCACTTGAAGTGCACTCATACCTATGCTGAAACTGAGGTTGCTCCCAGCATGGCACCAGTCCTCTGGGAAACACAGCCATGTCCATACCTGGAGATGACCTGCACCTTAATCACAGAGAACAGAAGTTAGGTGGCTAGACAAGCATGCAGCTCCTCTGCATGGCCTGACTGACCTGCTCCTGTTCGTCTCAGGAGGCTGCAAGACATAGAAATAGCAGCTTTTGAGACTGGCTTACAATTCTATTTGCACAAAACATTTTGAGGAAAAAGCTGCGCTGGAAGCAGGAGTTTCTGTGCATGGGTGTGCACATGCTGCACACTGCAAGACCACAGGGTTGTGGTTGGGAATCTCACCGTGCTGCATGTTGGTGAAAGGGTGAAAGTGTTGTAACATAACAAGAAGCAGAACTACTGGGAGACAGACCAATATTTGATGAAAACTTCTGACAAATTATGTAATGACACGTTTCCTGAATGCTAAGCCTTGTCTTGGGATAAACTCAAACCTGTAACCTGGAAGAGAAGTAAAATTTCTTTCCTCATGAATTTGTCAGCTGCACTGCTGTGGGTCGCTGCTCTCTGCCGGCATGGGCAGCAGGGAGGCAGGGTGTGCCTATGGGGCTGAGGCAGAGGGGCTTGTGCCTGGACTGCCACTGGAGAGAAGGAGGAGGGTTTCCTTGCAACCCCTTGTCCTTCCAGCATCCTGAATCCTTGTCTGAGCCCTCTTGTTTGTATGTGTGAACATGTGATGAAGCTGGTGCCGTGGTCGGTGTTTTCCCTTCTTTTTCTCAGTGCTGGAATCAGTGACCAGAAGTTTGTGCTTATTGGCATAAAAAAATAGCCAAGGATCCCTCTGCTCAGGGCTGTTTTCCCTTGTGCTTCCCTGTTCCCCAGCTTGTCCTTGGCCACAGCAGCAGTGCTGGGAGGATGCTCTTGCGGGTTCCCGGGTGAGGGGGCTGGCTGGACACGCCGGGGTGCTGAAATGTCGTGCTGTCTTCCAGGTCCTCCCCTGCTGCCTCCACTGCTGACCCCCAGCGCTCTGCCCCACAGGATCCTCGACCTGCCCCCACTGCTCCTCCAACAGTGAGTCATAGTTTGGGTTTTCCATCCTTTCCAATTTTTTTTGGCTATTTGGATTCGTTCGGGGTTGTTCCTTTTTTTTTTTTTTTTTTTCCCCCTTCTCTTTTGAGAGTCCATGGGGAAGGATGTTACGACTGTGACAATGGGATTTAAAATTTATTTTGCTTGTGTAGGCTCAGTGAAGAGTAGTGAAGTTCCTCAGGGTCTGTCCTGGGACCTGTCTTGCTTGCAGGTGGCACCATCTGGGGTTGCAGTCACTACCTTGGAGGACATGCTGCTGTTCAGAAAGACATATAGGGTTTTTTTTAAAAACGTTTTCTGAGGAGAGTTGGTTGCTGAGAGAGGCTGTGTAGTCTCCATCCTTGGAGGTTTTCAAGCCCCGAAGGAGTAAAGCCCTGCTCTGAACTTAGTGCTGACACTACTGTGAGCAACAGGTGGGATGGAAGACTGACCTCAGGGGGTCCCATGAGCTCCCCTCCCACTGATGATCTCCTTTCCACAGCAGCAACATCAGCTTCTCATGCCCAGGTCACTGGGGACGAGCAAGATGGTTGCTGAGTCACCAGGAAGAGGAAGGTTTCCCCTTACAATACACACGCTGCCCTGGCACATCAAGAGCACCGCCAGTTCCAAGCAATGAGTGGGGCCTGCAGCACACCCACCCCGCTGCCCAAAAAAATTTTGGGCAATGGAGGTTTTTCTGCCCTCTGGCACTCAGCTTATTAGCGGCTCAGGCTGCTCAATTGATTTTATTGATGGGTAACGCATGCTCCAGTTAACTTATTGGAAACAGCAGCAAAAATAAAGCAATAAAAATAACCCAGCACCCATGTCAGTGAAACGTGCTGGATTATTTCCGTTGCAGTTTGATTTCTGTATGAAGCAGACTCCTGGCTCGTGCTTTCCCCATGGGGGCAGTTCCTGCAGCCAGACCACTGGGCTGTGGTCACCTGGGGGTCTCACTGCGGTCATGTCCTGGGCATCCCACTCCACAGCCCAGCTCTTTGGATGACTTCCCTTAGTTGATGGGTGCTGGGGCAGGACCTGCCCAAACCTGCTTTGAAAGTAGAGAAAAATATAGGCAGGGCTTAGCTGCCAATGCCATAAACAACCTGGAGGTGATGCTTCCAATCATTTTGTGTCCCCCCCCAACCCAAATCATGTTTTATTTCTCTCTGAAATTCATTTTTCCTGGATGGTAAGCAGCCATTATGTGTCCTTCCTCTGCACTGTGCCTAAACTGTGCTGTGTCCTGGTCTGCAGACTTGTGCTGCAGACTGACAGTTTCCGCCCCATGCTCAGCATGCCCTTTTCTGGTGGAACTGGACCCTCTGAGGAGTCGCTCTGGAGCTCGAGACCAGCCTGCTGGGTAAGGTAAGGTGAGCTCAGTCCCTTTCCAAATACTGGGGAGCCTTTGCAGTGGCACCACAGTCTTACTTAGGCTATAAAATGCCTGCAGGGAGGATGTGGTTGGACTCTGCAGAGAGAGGTACTGATGCACCGCAGGGACCTGGCTCCACATGAGGAGCAATGCTGCAGTGTGGGCAAAAAAGGAAAAGGGGTTTTTGTGCCCTGAATGGTGCAATCCTGCTAACAGGGCTTCTATGAGAGGTGTGTTTTGCTGCTAGCACCTCTCTCTGCAAAGGGGCTGGTGTGGTCATGCATCCAGGGGGGTCTCCTGTCCTGCTGCCTCTGTCCTTGTTGCACTTGGCCGCCTGCTTTCCACCACATTGGTCACAGGGGTCCATTAAAACCAGCTAAAGAGCTAAGCTTGGAAGTGCATAGATGGGGTCATTTTCATCAGCCACTCTGCTTCTGTTACTAAAATAGATCTGCTTTGGCCTGGGGCCATCGTGTTGTCCCAGGCATTGACTGTTGTAAATGAATGGCGGGGCAACATTTTCCATTAGTGAAGAGGAGGACACATGCCTCTGAGTGAGAAGACAGCTCCATAAAGCAAAAATGTTGTAGTGACAGACAAATCCACCTCTATTCTCTCTCTTTCCTTTTAAAAGTGTCGCTATCCCTGTTTTCTGCACATAAAACCCTGGGAGAGACTGGCTGGAGCAACACCCTATACTTGCAACAAGATGTTGTGTTTTGGATAACGCGATGAAGGTTTCTCAGAGGAGCTGCAGGTGACCCATTAAGGTGCAACAAGGGTAAAACTTGACCAAAAACCTACGAGGAGGCTTGTCCATGGTCACTGGTGATGTGGTGGGTACTGGTTATGCCTGGTCTTGAGCATGCATCGTCTGAGGTCTCTGCTGCCACCATCTGCAGCTCCTGTGTGCTATGGGCAGCCTGTGACAAACGCATCCATATGCAGAGGGGTTTTTGCAGGGGTGGAGGGCTACTTTGTCTTTCCTGCTGGTAGCCTGGAGGCCACGAGCTGAAGGAAGGATGCACTTGGGAGTGTTTCCCTGGAGGGTCCTGCCTCTTCCCTGCTTGCTGGCATCTCCCTGAGCGTGGCAGGTCTTGGGGAAGGGATCCCCATCGCCAGCTCCAGGAAAACTGGGACATGCCCTTGCTGAGCAAGCCAAGTGTCCAGCCTGGGACCAAGTCCCCAGACTGTCCTTCCACAAGTGTTCATAACCCCAATCTGTCCAGCCAATGTGTTTTATTCTCTGGCTTTAGTGAAGACACTTTCCTGCAATTAAATCAGCATTTGATGTTGGATGAACATCATAACATCCCACAGCTCCCACCTTCCTCCATGAAGGTCTTCAGTCTCATTTCTCTGCCTTCCCATGCTCCCTGTCCAACAACACATCCCTTCTCCCAGGCCTGTGCCCCAGCCCCTCTCCCACATCCGCAGGCAGGAGAGGAGCCTGGTGCCTGGCTTTGTGCAAGCCTGCAGCATCTGGCTCAAAATGCAAAGCAAGGTTTGGTTTTCATTTTAAATGCTAAGCCCTCTTCAAGTCTGTGTCTTGGACCTCTTGCCCTATGGGATTTCACCCTTTGAACTCAGAGCTGATCCTGTGCGTGTAGTACCATGACTATTTTACAGAAAAACTACAGGCATGAGGGACATCTGGAAGAGTTTTTGGAGACGACTTGGCACTGGGAAACTGCTGGTGCTCCATGTCACATCCAGGCAATGTGACGAGTGGTCACTGCTGGTGCTGGGGGCCGGAGATGCTGTAGGGTTAGCAAGGTGCTCGGGTGGGAAGTGTCCATGCTGTCAAGGAGAAAAGGCTGCGACACAAGGCTGCGGGGTGGTGGTGGAAACATGCCAGCCAGTTGCAAACGATTTCCCAGTTTGACCTTCGGCTTAATCTGAACTTGAAGGTGAATGAGCAAAGCTAACGGCATCGATCCGGGATGTGGCTGATGAGCTCTGTGCCCTGCGGAGAGCTCGGCCCCCAGTGTCAGGTCCCTTTGTCACAATTTTTTTCCTGCCTCCACTTCACGCCTTTCCAAAGTGATCAGTCAGAGCATGGCACCCCATGTCTCCGACCTTGCTGGGGGACAGGGGGATGCCATATAGGCGCCTGCAGAGAGCTGCCCTGCTGTCTGATGGGCTTCTCCCAGCTGCAGCCGCCTCTCCGCCACCGCTAAGCCTGGCGTCTGCCTGCCATCACCTTGGGGGTGCGAGGAGGCACATGCTGAAGGCAAAGGCGTTGGTACCAATAAAGCCCGTGCTGTGTGCCAGAAGGCACGTTTCTCATAGGTACTTGTCTGCTGAGCCGCACGCTTATTCTCCTGACTCAAGGGGTCTAATGTCTTAACAAGCAGTGATGCATTGATGGTGTTTGATTCGGACTTGCCTTGCGGGGCAAAATGTAACTTGAAGCATCTCCATGCTGCTCTTGTCTTTAGATAAAATGCCACACAAACTGGCAAATTGTATTTCTTTGACCCATTGGGAAACAGAACCTGAGCATAGGTTGGAAACCTAGAACATGCCTTGACTAATATATAGAAAGCTTGTTTTGGGGGAAGGAAAGAAAGATGATGCCCCTTCCCTCAGCATCTTCCAAGCTTTAGCCACAGAATTTCCGCAGCTGAAAATAACAAACCATTTTAATCTAAGTATTGCTTGTTCTGATCTTTTAATCCAGCTTGCTTTCTATTGACAGAGCAGCCTAAAATTATTTCTCTGCCTGCCTCTCTATTATATAATTATTCAGAAGATTACTCGGGAGCCAGATTTAGCTGGGCATTTCTGGGGAAGGATGAGGGGGTTGCGAACGGGGGGATCTGCAGGGCTGGAAGGTGTATGTGGGATTCTTTTCTCCCTTTGCACACTGGCTATCACAAAACACAGGAGGGGAAAACAGTGAGCTGAGCCCTTTTGGCTGTGTCTGTAGTTTGCATTTGAGTATGGCAAGTTTCTCCCTTGGCTTGCATTTGTTGGACTAAAATGGATTGTCTGGTGAAGTGTGACCCCCTCACAAACCAGAGAGGATTTCACATGAAACCCTGAACTTCTCTACACCATTTGAGGCATTTTGGGGCTGTACTTCTGTCTTTGATAACAGCATCTTGAGACAGTCCAGCCTCAAGAAGGACTTGGAAATAGGGGCTGTGCTCCTGATGCCTCCCATCCCCGTGCAGAGCTGTGTGCGGAGGAATAGCTGCAAGGAAGAACCAGCAACCGGGCTGAGTGCCGGGCTGGGCTGTGGCGGTGATGCCAAGAAGGCATGGAGGTGGCCAGAGGTGTGGTTTTTCACCAAAGCCCAAGCTCAGCTGGTTCTTCAAGGAGCATTAGGTGTTACCCTTAGATAAGAAGGGCTCAAGCCCTTGGATGATCGGATGGCTGGGGACAGCTGCCCTGCAGAAGAAATGCCACTGAAATTCAAGGGCAGATGCCAGTGGTAGATTCACTTGGGGCTTTCCATTGGCAGGGATGATGAACAGACATATCGCTGGCATGACAAGATGGCATAGCTGAGGGATTTGCCAGTGGAGACTCAGGTTGTCAGAAAATGCATCTTCTGATTGGCGCAACCCATGGGCTTGAGTTTTGACAGGAGAAGTAAGAGGGTGTCTTGGGCTACAAAAATTCCTTTTCCCTTCCCCAGACTGAGTGGGCTGGTACCTGCCGTTACTGAGGGAAAGCCAGTAGCTGCTTGGCCTGTGGACCATGACTGGCTGGGATGTGGTGGCTCAGAGCTGCTGTCCCCTGGGAAATGCAGAGCTGGGGCAAGGAAGAACCCCCAGTGCCAGTCAAAGTCAGATGCTGGGAGCTGTGGCTTGTCTTGCCTTGTTCCACGGGACCTCGGGGACCCTTCTGGGGCGGAATATCCCCAGAATTGTGCTGAGTTTTAGTGGGGTGAGTGTCTGTGGGGAGACACTTTGCAATGCCCTTTGAGCCTGGCATGGCCATGTGGTGGGGGCAGGGGGCAGGCGATGCCCACCCAGAGTGTGCCACACTCCCTCCACTGCGCTTGGTCCTTCTTCCAAAAAAGCTGTTTCAGCAGACCCTCTACCTCCAAAGCAGGAAACTTGTCATCTGCAACCACCATGCATTAGCCAGGAGGGCAGCAGAGGATCAGACTGGGAGAGGTTCAGGAGCAATGTGGGGGCACAGGATGGTCTTTTTTTTGGTGATGGAGCAGTGGTAACACATTCCTTTCCTCCAAGGCTCAGGGAGCCAGCTGAGCTCTGGGGTCTGCAGTCAGGGCTTCAGCCTGGTCCTTCCCTCTGCTGCTGCTGCTGCTGCTGAGATGGAGTGTTTAGCACAGCCCATTGCCAGCAGCCCAATGTGCACTGCTGTATGCCCTCCTCTCCCTCCCGGAGGCTCTGTCCCCAGAGTGGGTGGGCAGGCACTGCTCTGCCAGTACCCTGGTAAAGCATCTCCAAATTTCCCCCTGCACACAGGAATCATCCCGGTGCTTGTCTCGTACCCGAACTCCTTTCTCCTCCATGTTGAAAGCAGTGGCTGGTTCGCTCTCATTGCCTCAAGGCAACCCAATTTGCTCAGTGGCCTTTAAAAAAAAAAAAAATCAAAGCCCACTGAAATGACAAGAACATCAGCATTGGGTGCATCCCCCTTTCCAGCAAACCAAGGGATTTGGGAGAAAATAGGTCACGTGCTCTTCATCCCATGCCACGTGGTGGACCTCCCAGGGCCAATGAGGTTCAGAGCCCTCTGCGCCGTACAGCGAAAAAAATCACTGGGATTTTTTTCCCCCATAGCATTTTTCATCCTTTCCAAACGTGAAAAGACTGGCCATCTGTCTGGACACCCCTCACGCCAAATCGGCACTAAAGCGGCTCTTTGGGGAAGGTAAGAAGATTTAAAAGATTGTGTTGGTGGAAGAGCACCTGCCATGTGCAACTTTTCCTACTGATGAAAATCAAGGAAGAATCATTAAATGAGTCAGGTCTGGGGCTCCAGTATGTGTTAGAAGAGCTTTGAAT